GAGGAAGAGGAGGAAACTCAACCCGAAGTGACGAATCCAGGGATGAACCAACACCGCCCTCTGCTGGTGGGAACTGTCACTGCATGGCGAGTTTTACTCCGTTTAAAAATGAGAGGGAATTAAAATATTTATTCATTTCTTGACATGAAGTTAATAAATTAACACATGAAACTTTATATTTTATGAAAATAAAACTCATTGGTAGCTCCTGAATTAGCTTTAATTGCCTTTAACTGAGCATTAGAAAAGTTTCTGAAGAGATCAAACATCCATAAAATCATTTTCTGTCCTCTTGAGTTTTCTTTCAGATTTTGGAGGATTTTTATTTATATTCCTAAAAAATGTAACATGAATGTCAGACCAGAGGAGACAATAGGGGGGTAAATTTAAATTATGGGGGCATTTCCCACATCCATCTGCTGGTGGCGCCACTGAATCGTTTGAGCAGCAAAACTGTTGAATAATCTCAGTTTAAAACACAAGAACAAGAACTTCATCTATTAAGAACAATTTTAGAGGGAATATTTACATTTTTAAATAATATTCTGATTCTTTCCTAAAAAGGCAGGTTTTAAAAAAGTTTATCCGTTTTTATTTATCATGAGAACTGATCTTCTACATCAGTCTATAAAATGAAAACTGATTTAAATATTTTATGTTTTGGTGAAGGTATGTTTCGATCCTTAAACGTTTCTTTAGTTTGTGATCCCACTGAAAGTTCTCCTGGTTCAGTGATTTGGTGTTTCTGTTGATTTCTTCTCTATTTTTGTTTATTTCATATCATATTAATACTCCAGACTCATTGTTGTCCCTTTCATAAAGCCGATGGTGCATCAGTTCTGTAAACTCTCTTTTCTCATAGAAAGTTCTCCTGGTTCAGCCGTGTCTCTTTCCTGGATGCAGACATGGATCCAGCTACTGCCAGACCCGATATTCATGTTTTATTGAGTCTCTTTTCTCAGCAGAATTAACTAATTTCTCTATTTTTGTCTAACTTTCTGTATTGAAAGTATTTGTGGCTCAAAGCTTCAGTGTTTGCCTCTTTATGCTAACATTAACATTGTCTGCTTTAGTTCTATAGAAAGTTATTTCTGTCTTCATCTGGAGAGTTTGTCTTGTTTGAAGTGAGCTGTTCCTTTCTACAGTCGCCGGTGCATCATCAGTCATCAGCAGAACGTTTTTAGATAGATAACTTTTTACCAAGTGTTTAGTCGGCGTTAAAATGATTGTGATAAATCAGTTATTGAAATATGTATTAAAGGCTGAAGCTGATTTTGTTGTGGATAAGCAATCACTCCAGGCGTCGGGTTAGGACAGCTGTTATATATGTTGAGGTGAGTTATTGAAAGGAGAGAACGTCCGAGTCCAGAATTAGACTTAACATGACTTTAATAAACTTCCAGCTTCATCCATGCATATAACAGGCAGGAGTCGAGGGGGTGCGCTTGTAGATGAGATTATGTGTGTATGGGTGCATGCGTGTGTGTAGATGTGAGTATGTGTGGTTTCCTATAAAGACAAACAAATACAAACCATGAGTATCTGTCTGTAAATGCTCTACACTTAAATAACAACCAATCCGACCGATAATAGCGTAACACTACAAAACATACAAGAGAAACACGGCATTTCAGTCGGAAATTGCAACACCAGCGACAGCTGCGTCTAATTAACTGAGCTTATTAGCTTAACCTAAACAGTTAACTCTAGCTCTGCATAATACGAACAAACCACACTAAGCGACCATAACATTCGACAAGACAATATACAAATACAGCTCTTAGACATCAACAGTACCACTTACATTCAATGGACGCACACGATATAAAGAGGTAACAAATCTGCCTTGAGAGCCGCCCCACTGAATGCTCATGTCCATAAGTGAAGTATAAACAAGAAGCCACCCAGTGGAAGAAAAAGGCATTACACATGAAACACCTAGATAAAGAAAAAACAAACTTAAGGGCTGGAACAAATAATTAACAATCTTTTGTACAAAATAATTATCAATTAATTTAGTAATCGATTAGTTTAAAAATGAATTTATTTGTTTATTTGCGTCTTGCACATTTCTAATATTATATTAAAAAAGGCTCAAGTGATGAAACAGAAAGTCTGAAGAATGTGGCCGGTTTTTTATCCGATTAATCGTCAGAGTAGTTGATTACTGAAATAACCGTTGCAGCCCCACTAAGCCTGACCTTTGGACTTTATTAGTGAAACATTTTGTTTTTGGGTTCTAAAAATGAACTCGCCCCGTGTTTCTAGTAAAAGAGACCCAAAAGGTGCTGATTAGAACTCCGTTACCAGATTAAAGCCGGTCTGGGTTTCATAAATATCACCTATAAAGACGGATGAAGGGTTCTGGTCTCCAGAATTACAGAGCAGCCTGCGGTTCTGGATCAGATCAGAGTCCTGCGGCCCGGGGCGGTGGGTTCTGGTGGCTCCAGGGTTCCCGGTACCGCCCTCTCTGGGTTCGGGTTTCAGGCCGCCCTCGCTGCGGAGGAACCGCATGTTCTGTCCGGGTTCGGACGGCGGTGGCGCGTTTCCGGGAGGAAACAACAAAAACAAACCAGTTCCTTTGTTTGAACCCGGAGCGGCACGCGACTCTCACCGGTACCAACAACCGACCAATCAGAGGCGGCGCGAGGAGAGACTACCGGAGCGCGCGCGCTCAGCGGGCAGAGAGGAGAGTCCCGGAGGAGGAATGGAGCTGGTTTCTAACTGGTTTTAATGGTTAAACTGGGTAGGCTACAGAGCAGGAGGGTTCGTCTGACCGGCTAGAGCTTCACAGCATGTCAGGAAACTGGATTGTACCCGGATGAACACTGGGAGCACTGGGAGCACTGGGACTGGAAAACCTCCCTGTTCTGTAACCTCAGGAAGGAGGATGCTGGTTCTGGTTCTCCTGTCCGGGTTCTGGATGTTGATCCAGGGACAGAGTCTGGACCATGACAGGTGGGTCATTCTGGTGACTTTAACTGGTTGAACTGGTTAGACTAATATTTTTATTATTATTATAAAAATACAGTCTTATAATTAGAGTTACTGAACAGAAAGTCTTCACTGCGTCAGCTGTAAAATAATTTAGTTTTTAAAATGTGATCGCAGATTAATCGATTTTTTAAATAATGGTGAACTAACTTAGTGATTTATTTACTGCCAACTGAAGTATACAGATTCCAAAAAGGACATTTACTGAAAGAACAACACAGTCAGAGCAGCAAATAAGACAAAGTCCCAAAAAATAAACATTTTGCATTTAAAATAAAAAACCTTCTTTGTCTGTAAACATGTTCCGGTCAGAACTCCTCCAGTGGCAGTTTTAGCTTCACTGTTCAGATTATGCAAAGTAAATCTCCTAAGCAGCTTTTTTATCCAGTTCTCATTGATTATTGGTAAAAATGTTTATTTTTTGGGTCGTACTGAGTTGAGCAGAAAGTTCTGAGCTTTTCATGTTATATGTTGCTTTTAAGATTATAAATATAAAAAAGTTCTCAGTGGTATAGTTTTAGATTCATGTGATTCAAATTCTGTAAAAATAAAAGTAAAATCCCCTGTGAAGCAGTTTTTTCTGTCAGATTATTAATCTCTTGATCAGTCTCTGTATTGATGTTAAGGTCTGAGATTTTCACATGTTGATATTTTGATATTTAACTGCAGATGCGTATTTTGCTACAAATTATCAAGTTTTCACTAAGACAATGCTATTTCATCTTATTTAAAAATGAAACTGAATTGCCAATTTGCATTTTTAAATGTATTTCTAATGTTGCATAAAACACTCAAGTGTTAAAAATGTGCAGCATGTATAATTTTGACTGATTAATCGTCAGAATAATAATTTCCTTTCACGCTTTTAGTTATAACCACAATAAAACGCTTTGATTTTTGTGGTTTTTATGAAAGAACTAGAAAAGTTGGAGCAGAGTGAATGTTTCTGTAAAGTATTTCTGCAGAGTGTTTCTGTAGGCAGAGTGTTTCTGCAGAGTGTTTCAGTAGGCAGAGTGTTTCTGCAGAGTGTTTCAGTAGGCAGAGTGTTTCTGCAGAGTGTTTCTGTAGGCAGTGGGAGTTTCTGGGTCTCCAGACCGAAAGAGGAAAACCAAACAGAGGGATGGAAAGTATGCGCAGGAGGCCGAGGCGCCGCCGCCTCCTCATGTCAGGACAGGCTCCAGGAAACTGGAGATGTCAGGATGCTCCTCTGCTGGTCTCGACTAGCCGAGCTGACGCTAACCAAACACTCCGAGCGGAACCGGGCTGAAGGGGGGCGGGCTTTGACTAGACACTCACCCCGCTGCAGGAAATTAATCAGCGCGTTTTAATGAATCCAGCTGCAGGAAACGCAAACACGCTGCTTACTGGTGTGCGTCTGTGTTTGCAGCTGGACCGACCAGGCGGTGCTGTCCGACGGCCTCTGTCACTATGGCAACGGCGTGGAGTGCTGCTGGGGCTGGAGGCGGACGGGGCGGGGCCGGTGTCAACGTGAGGACACGACAACACAGCGACAGGAAGTTCAGGATGATTCAGACCAGATCCGACACCAGACTCTGGGGATTTACTGAATCATCAGAGTGTAAACAGAGTTTATCTGAATGATTTATGACAAACATTCAGATTATTTCCCTACAACCTCAACTCTGATTTATGGAATCATTCAGGCATGAAAAGCTCCTAAGCTGAAGAGATAAACCAGAGTTGTGTTTGCAAATGACCAACAGCGCAGCAATAAATTAGATTATTAGTAAATAAAGGAAGGAAGATTCATTTATAAAGCAAATTAAATGCATAAAAATAGACAAAGTAAATCCAGGAAGGCAGTAAAACACTGATTAATAGTGATGATGAGCTCATAAACAGAAGTTTGACATTAGATTAGATCAGACCTCAGTAACCTGGAGGCCAAACGAGATCACAGCAGCTCAGAGACAACCAGAGGAAACGGTCTAGTTAAAGCTTAACGGTCAACAATAAAACTTTAGACATGGGGTTGTTGCAGAGCAGTACAACAGAAGACAGATGATTGAATCATGAGCAGCAGCAAAACCAACCTAGATCTGATAAAATGTTTAAGATTAATTAAGGAAAAATATTTCTGTTATAATTTATTCTGTTGTTTCTATAAATCTCTGGATTACAGTCGGCTTCATTCATGGATTGGAAAACCTGCCGATTTATTAATCTTCTCACAGATGAAAATGTTTTTAAAATTCAGTTTGGGAGGCTGAGATACCTCAACACAGAGCTACATGATACTGGCTAGTGTTTGATAAGCATCCAGTCCAGGAACGACGTTTATTTTCTGTGAAGCTGATTGGCTGAACTGACTGCAGATCAGAGATGTTAAACTCCAAGGTCTGGTGTGTTACAGCCAAAACGCCCTCGTTAGCTTCTGCTGTAGCGCTAAGACAGTTTCTACTGCACGTATGAATGAACTTTAAGGTATATTTGGTGTTTGAGTCATTAAAACAGGCAGTTATTGGCATTTTCAGATGGAATCAAATATTTGCAAACTTCATGTGTTCGTTGGTGGCTGTGGACCCCAAACCTCTATGAATACGAAGGGTTAACTCAGATTCCTCCCAGTTACTTCATATCAGACTCAAAGATTCCCAAACCTGCCAGGCGGATATGAAAGTTATAGATCTGCACTGATAAATCGATATGCTTGTCTGATGGGATTGCAGTTTTCCACACACTGATACTAGAAGAACCAGCACAGTGGAGCAGCTGGTGGCACTGAGGCCTTGGAGTTGGAGGGTTGCAGGTTCTAATCCTGTTTTGGGGTCTTTCTGCATTGAGTTAGCACGTTCCCCCTCTGGGTTCTCCACCTTCCTCCCACAGTCCAGATACACGACTGCTGGGTGAATTGGTCTCTAACCTGTCCTCAGGGTGTGACCTTCCTCCTGCCCAGTCGCCCTGCAGAGATAGATGGATGATGTTCTTGGTGTTGGGACTCGTCTGAAGTCCTGGTGCGGTTCAGTTCAGACCACCTGAAGGGAGCAGCAGCCGGTCTGTCTGCGGTGGAGGAACAGAGGCAGGACGTCTGTCAACACAAACCCAAACAAACCGCACGCCGACTGACGGGTCGTTTATGTGAAACCCGCCTGGAGACCCGGGAACGAGCCCGAAGGATTTCCTGGAATCTGTTTGGGTTTCGCTGCTAATGAGCGAAAACATGTAGAACAGCAGCAGCTTCCAGGAAGATTAGACGCTGGGAAACGATCCGGCGTCAGCCGCTGGACGAGTTCATACATGACCGACCCGTCGCATGTTCACTGACGTGTGTGTGTGTGTGTCTGTGTGTGTGCGCGTGGGTGTGTTGTGTGTGTAGCTGATTGTCAGCAGGGCTGCAAACATGGAGACTGCGTTGGACCAGACAGCTGCAAATGTCACCCAGGATACACCGGAAAAGCCTGTAACCAAGGTAACGCAGCGTCCAGGTGAACGCAGGTTTGACGTGTTGGGAAGGTTTGGATTCCTGCAGCAGACAGACAGACAGACACATTCCTGCAGTGGCTGTTTAACCTGTGAGAGCGTGTCGTACCTGCAGCTCCCCAAACACACACGCACACACACACACACACACACACACACACACACACACACACACGCACACACAGAAACACACCATCTGCTGATTAGAGGCTTCAATGTGACTCACATCCTGACTTTAAGCACCCACTGGTTTCTGGCAGACGATTCATTCCCAGTTTAACCATCATCCTGCTGAGGATGAGGAGGCTCAACCTGCAGACACACGTTTCAATCCTCCTGTCATTAACAGAGCCAGAGGTCAGAGGTTAATCCAACAGGCCGACGTGAGGAGCGAAAGGAGAGAAAAGAGGAGCTCTCAGGCTGACGTTTGACCTCTGACCTCTGTGCTGTGGGTGTGTTTCAGACCTGAACGAGTGCGGAGTGAAGCCGCGGCCCTGTAAGCACCGCTGCATGAACACGGCCGGCAGCTTCAAGTGCTTCTGCCTGGACGGCTTCGCCCTGCAGCCAGATGGCAGCTGCAGGAGTGAGAGACCTTCAGACCTTCAGCTGCGACTCAGGCCGCAGACAACCATTTTAGCTATCGATTAATCGATTATTCTGACGATTAATCATCGATTACTCTGGCGATTAATTGGTTATCCTGGTGATTAATCGATTATTCTGACGATTAATCGATTATTCTGATGATTAATTAGTTAATCAGACAAAAAAATTGCACATTCTGCTAATTTTTTAATTTTCCTTTTTAGTACAATATTAGAAATACGTTAAAAGATGTAAATAAATAATTAATTTTATAGACTAAAATAGATTAACAGCATCCCATTATTGAACATCGATCATTTGTAGCAAACGATGCATCTGCTGCTAAAAAATTAAAAAGACTGAAGGCTTTTATCACCGTTTTTGTAGAAAGAAAGAGAAATCATGCAAATATAAATTATTATATAATTAACTGATAAATTGATTTATTGCTTGTTGCAACAGGCCTAGTTGACATCTTGTTAACCGATTAATCGTGATTAATCGATTTACCGTTTCCTGATTCCTTGCCTGAATCGTTTTCATGTTGTGCTCTCAGATGTGCGGACCTGTTTCCATGCCAACTGCCAGTATGGCTGTGAGGTGATGAAGGGCGAGGTGCGGTGCACCTGTCCGTCTCCAGGGTTACGGCTGGGCCCGGACCGCCGCTCCTGTGTGGGTCAGTGTTGGGTTCTGGGCGGGTTGAACCCGGTTTGGTTTCTGTTTCCTCACCGCCGGCTGGCCTCTCCTCAGACATCGATGAGTGCGCGCTGGGCGCCGCCTGTCCGCGCCGCAGGAAGTGCGTCAACACGTTCGGGAGCTTCTTCTGTAAATGCCACCTGGGCTTCAAGCTGATGTTCATCGACGGGCGCTACGCCTGCATCGGTGAGGCTCAGCGGAGATTCACACTGCAAAACCACAAACGCTCATTCATTCATCTGCACAAAACAGAGACAAAACCACTGTGAGCATTTGTCTTAAACTCCTTTACAAAATAAATTACATTACATTCATCCAACTTCAAAAATCACCTGATTAGTAACGACCAAACCAAAGAGCAAAGCAAATCACTATCTCAGCCCACAGCTGGGCGATCAATCTGTTTGATTGATTAATCAAATTTTTGTTTTTTTATGGTTGAATTTTTGGAAAATCAGGATATTTTCCTACCAATTTGCTCCTTGTGTTCCATAAATCAGAGTGATGTCAGCGCAGCCAGGGCGGCCATCTTGTTTAACCATCGAGTTTTACAGCTTCTGTTTATTTGGGCTTTGATTTCAGGTCAACTCTGTGAACAAATATAAAAGTCAGGATAAGATTTTTATGAAAATAAACTCATAATGTTAAAAGAATACAGTCTTAGTAATACAAGAATAAAGTAAAAATTCCACCTGAAGTTTAATCTGAAGCCCCAGCTTAATCTGAAGCTCCATTTTAATCTGAAGCTCCATTTTAATCTGAAGCTCCAGTTTTACTTCTTAAATTTAACTGACGGTTTCATCCTGTCAGACATAGAAGATCTTTGATTAAAGCAGGAAACCAAGCTGCTGTTTCTCAGATCCAGACGGTTTTAAAGCTGTAAAATTTATTATTAATAATCTGAAACACCAGATTTTAACACTAAACTACCTGAATGTTTTTCCTGGACACAGAGTGATGTAGTTACTATCAGATAAAGTTATAAAGATGTTTCCTCTGTTTGTGTCCAGATAAAGACACTCGGCCGTTCTGCTCCCTGAATCCTTCCTCTCCAAAGTGTCGGTGTAAAGATGGCAGCTGCAAAGGTAACGACTCCATTTCTGACTCCTCAGAACCCGACCACTAAACCTTTAGACAGTTAAAGGTTAAAGGTTAATGTCCTGATAGCTGATTAAACCTTTAAAGAAATCAATGAAGAAGAATTTTATTCAAATAAATGTCTGAAAAAACTCAAAACCTGTAACTTCAGGCTGTTTGCTGAGTTCTGTTCATCAGCTCACAGGTTTGGGTTTTTTCATCTCCAGGGATCCTCAGAGTGACTTTAGAGCCACACAGACCCAGAACTACAACTCCCACCACCACCACTGTTCCTACCACTGTTCCCACCACCACCACTGTTCCCACCCCCGTTCCCACCACCACTGTTCCCACCACCACCACTGTTCCCACCACTGTTCCCACTACAACCACTGTTCCCACCACCACCACTGTTCCCACCACTGTTCCCACTACAACCACTGTTCCCACCACTGTTCCCACCACCACTGTTCCCACCACCACTGTTCCCACCACCACCACTGTTCCCACCTCCACCTCTGCTTCTACCACCGTCTCCTCTACCGCTTACCAAACTACTGCTGCCTTGACAACCACTGTCATAGCAACCACCTCAATGGCTACCTCTACTGTTGCTATGACAACCAGATCCCCAATCACACAGCCTGCAACGACTGTCCCAACAACTCCGCCCACCGTGCCAGCTACCGCCGCTCCGACCACACCCACACCTCTTCCTGCTACCGCCGCTACGACTGCTGCTGAGCCTACGGTTGCTATAGCAACGACGACGCTGCCCTCCAGCACCGGCGCCGTGGTGACGACAACGCTGAACAACCGGATCAACAAGGACGTGACGCAGAGACAGAGAGGAGACGTTCACAGTGAGGCCGCCCTCTGCCTGCTTGTTTCTAGACTAACAAAGAGTTTAATTTCCAGATATATTCATTAATTATTGATTAGGTTGTTTAAGATGCAGTGTGCAACTTTTACATAAATATTTTTTATTCCATATTTATTAAAACTGCCACCATGTTGTGACAGTTTGAAATAAGACAAATAATCTGTGAAAATATCCAGAAAAACAACCAATCAGAGCCAGGAGGTGGATCTTATCGCTGTCAATCAATCACGTGTACGTGCTGCTAAATGTTTTAATAGTAGAGAATCAACATATCGTTACAGGAAAACCATTTATATCATCAGTGGCTATGCTAACTAGCCTTAGCATTTGTAGCAGGCTATGCTGTGGCTAGCTAGCTGTAACGCAGAGAGAAAGGAGGAGGGGTTGAACACAAGAGAGATTGAGAGCGCTAAGGCCCTCCTCCTGGCTCTGACTGGTTGATTCTGTCTGTAGTGTGTTTCTGCGACTTTTTTCACAGATTATCTCATTCTGTCATGAAATAATTATAATTTTAACAAATACATCAAAAACCCTTTTTTAATCAAAGTTAGACACTGCAGCTTTAAATGTCTACATTTCATATGAATGTTTATTAAATTAGTTTTAGTAGATAAATCAGAGGAGCAGCTGCCGTTTGCTCACTGTGGTCTGTTCCTGTGCTTCAGTTCCTCGGCAGCCTGGACAGAACCACGTCTGGGAGTTTGACATCGAGCTGGGGAACACGGCCCAGGACGCTCAGGACGACCCCGGTACCGCTTCCTGGGTTTCTGCTCAAATCTGCAGAGAAATGGAAAAACAACAGAGCATGAAGCTGAAGCAGCCAGAGTTTAGCTGCAAGAAAACAACTACTGGCCCAAACTCTCCTATTACAGTCAAAATTAGAACAACTGGAGACGATGACCCAGATTTATCGTAGCGACTCAGAGGAGAGGAGAGCTGCAGCTAATGATCCACTTAGTAATCAATTCATCTATATTATATAGATAAAAAATGCCACATGCTGTGGACTGGATCATTTTATGGCATCTGAAACGATTGATCAGATCAATCGCGAGTAACCGATTATTGAAGTAATCGTCAACTAATTTAGTGATTATTTAAACATGAACTGGAGTTAAATGAAAAGATTTGATTTGCCAAAGTTAAACCGATGGACAAAAAACATTTGTTTTTCTGTTTTTAACACATTTACTGGGATTATTAAAGTCTGAGAGGAAACTGGGTTTACCTTAAGCAGTTCTCCAACAAAACAAATTTGTCGTTTGTCGAGCAACAGAGTCAGAGCAACAACAGAGTCAGAGCAACAACAGAGTCAGAGCAACAACAGAGAAAGAGCAACTTCAGAGTCAGTTGTTCTGACTCTGAAGTTGCTCTGACTCTGTTGTTGCTCTGACTCTGTCGTTGCTCTGACTCTGAAGTTGCTCTGACTCTGAAGTTGCTCTGACTCTGTCGTTGCTCTGACTCCGTTGCTCTGTTGCAGCGGCCGGTGATCTGCGCTGCAGCTTCAGTCGTGGCGTCTGCAGCTGGATCTCTGAGCGAGACGGAGATCTGTCCTGGGAATCTGTGGACGCTCCTGCAGGTAACGACACCTGGACATCAGCAGCTCTGTGGAGCAACATGAGCCCAGAGTGATTCTGCCTCCTGGCCCAGGTGGGCGGTACCTGTCGGTCCCGGAGCTGAAGGAGGGCCAGCGCAGCGTCCGAGGCGCCCGATTGGCCGTCCAGATTCTCCCTCCGTGGAACCGTGGCGACGCCTGCTTCTCCTTCTCCCATTGGCTGACGGGGCGTCAGGTGGGAGTCCTGCAGCTATTCGTCCGCAAGAAAGGACGGGACCAAAGGTACCGCAGCGGCCGTGACCTCTGACCTCTAACCAGTCTGCTGCTGGATGGTGCTGGGTGAAAGCGTGACCCTGATTGGCTGTTTCAGGTATGGCTCCGCCCTCTGGAGCCGGACAGGTGGGCAGGGGTGGAGGCAGACACAGGTTACCTTGGAGACGCAGTCAGTGGACAAAGTAAGTTACATGATGATTATGATGAAGATTATTATAAATATTCAGAATTTGATCAGAATGATGATGATGATGATGATGATGATGATGATGTGTGCAGGTGCTGCTGAAGGCCGAGCGAAGACCCGGACGACGAGGCCAGATTGCGGTTGATGATGTCACACTGAGACGAGGGGCGTGCCGATGACATCATCAGTGGGATCTCATTTAAAGGGCCGGTCTGCTGTTTTCTAATTGGATAGAAACTTTTCCATCTCTGGCTGCAGATCTCGATGCTCAGATCAGATTTATTTATTTATTGTTTGGTCGTTTGCATTACTTTTAAAATGTCGCCTCCTGCTGACCTCAGAGTCACCTGAGGTCAGCAGGAAGCGGTGAGGAGGAAGAGCCAGCGGTCGGTGAGGTCGAGGCGTTTTCTTACCCCTCAGGTGTTGAAGCCGTTTACAGGTGGAGGGAAAAACTCCGACAGAACAGAAACGGCTTTAACGCTTCTTCCACCTTCACTGCCTCTGCTGTTTCCACGGTGATTTTAAGTCCCGCCCTGTTTTGGTTCTGGTTCCTGTTTGGATGAAATATGATGAGTTACTGTGACTGAGCTCCCATTGATACATTTTATTTATTTAAACCACATTTCCAAACAGATCAGATTAATAACATAGAAACAGAAGTGAAATCTGCTGATAATCCCTGTAAATTCATTATTACAGATTATTGATGTTGACAGTTTTCAGACCAAATAGTTAAACATTGTTAAATAATCTGTTTTAAATAATGTTTATTCATAACATTGTACTGTAATATCCAATGTTTATGTATATAAAACTGTGAAATAATAAACCTGTTTCTCTTTTTAATTAGCTCTTCTCTCAAAGTGAGTATAATTATGTGAATCTGAGCAAATCTGGTGCTTTATATTCATATTTTACCTCAAATTTATGTGTTTTATATAATAGGAACTAAAATAACCAGTGTTTACTAATTAAATTAGTAAATGTAATACAAATGCAAACATTTTTATAATTTCTAATAAACAAATTGATGCAAAACTTATGAAACTCGTTTTGAATTCATCATGATGAAAACATTTTATATCAGCATTTTGTACAATCATTTTATAATCCTGTTTTTATATTATTTGTCTGCTTTACCTGTTAAAGGGGTAGGCGGGGCTAACACTGCTAGACAACAAGGTGATTGGCTGGTTGTGTGACTAATGTTATTTTGATTAGTTATTGAGCTGTAATGATGAGTCAAATTTTTATTTTTATTCATTTACCTGATGAATAACTGATACAATATATTTATTTAATGTTTTTAATAGTTAAAAAACAGATATAAATATTAAATTGATTGAGTTTTGAGTTCTTGCTGGTTCAAAGCTTATATTTATGATTTATTAAATATTTTGTCTAACAGATGAAACTACCAGGGGTTCAGAAGGTAAATGCATCTGGGAGGGCGGGACTTCCTGATGATTCATGTCAAACATCTGCTGCACAGAACCAGAACACATCTGGATTCCTGGGTTTATGGACTCAGCCTGTGATTTACAGCTGGTTCCCTCCTGCTAACGCTATAATTACCAAACAGGCTTCTCTTCTTCTCTGGTTTCTGCTGACGATCACATGACGTCATATGAGGAGGATAAACAGTAGACCAACAAGATGAGGAGAGTTTCTAATTTCATATTTATTTTTAAAGTTTTCTGGTGAATTTAAAGATGAAAAAGCGCCCCCTGCTGGAGGTTCCACGCATTACAGCAGTTTTTCTTTCTATGTAAACTTGGGATATTTTAGTGCTAAAATGTAAGAACACTTTAAATAAAATTATTAAAGCTGTGATGATATGAATTATTAAAGACTTGATTTGACTTGGAAAAAGTCTGAAAACATCAGTTATTTGAGGATCTGACAGTTTAAACTCCGGGTGGAGATCAGCGGACACGTTATAGCTCCACCTGGTGGCGGATGATGGGAGTTACATCGTGTAGGTCGCCATTCAAAATCTGATTGTCTCTGTAAAACAATCCAACAAGTTTATGGAAATAATAATAACCTTAAACATGTTTCATTAAGCTCACATTTCTGTATTAAAATGTGTGTTTTTATTGGTCTAATGTAATATTCTAATCTTAAATGTTATTTTCACTATTAGCTGTAAGTCTTAACTGAAATAAAGGATTGAAAACATCAATCTGTTATTTAGTTCATATATTTCATTTCAAATAGTGACTATTATTAACTAACTTTTCAATAATATTCTAATTTATTGAATATGTCTGCGTATTATGGCCTCTGTAAAATCTTCAGAAAAATCTTTACACTTTGTTGCTGATGTATGTCACAAAAAAGCTTGACTTGAACTGAAAGAGAAACTTTAAACATGGAAAATTGAGAGGTACTGCTTTTTCTTTTTGTTTTTTTGTTTGTTTTTTTCTGATACAAAAATGTATCAGATATTGTGTAAAAAGTATAAGTGTTATTAACTAGTTGAGGAGAAATGTAAAATATTAAAATAACACTCTGTAAACATTGTTGAAATATGTGTAATTGAATAATAAAATGATAAAGAAACGTTAAACCTAGTGTTTTTCTCCTCCTGGCCACCAGGGGGCGGCAGCGCCACCCGACCCAGCGGAAGACGTGTCTGCTGTCGGCTCCAGGCTCATGACGAACAGGATCTGAGAGAAGGTCACTGCTCTCTCTACATCAGCAGCGGTACCGGTTCGGCTTTTTGGACCTTTTCTCGAAGATTCTGGTGGTTTTTACGTGACACGGGAGATGTTTCTGTGTTAAATGACAGGAAGCCGGTGGGCAGCCGGTACCGGGCGGGTTCGGTTCGGTTTGTGTAGTTATTGGACCTCGCCGCCGCGGGTCGTTGGTCCTGAATGTTTGGGAAATCTGGTTTCGTTCATTAAACGGACCGATAAGCCGAACTATCTGGACTGTGTTTGTTTTTCCAGCGACGCCTTTCTGTCCCTGCTGTCTGCTGTTCTGCTGGTGTCTCCCTGAGGGACCGTGTCCGATGGCTTCCCTGAAAATAACACTCTGCTCGGCCTTATATCTGCCCTCTGGGCCACCGGAACCAGCTCCCATTGTTACCTCTACTGGTCAGATGAACAGAGAGCAGAACATGGCTGTTGAAGTGTAAATTACTGTGAGAACAGCTTAATAAATGTGTCTAAATAAAGCAAACAACTTCTGTCTGAGAAGCTGCATGCTCATTGGCTGTCAATGGGTCACGTGTGCACTCAGTTTACATAACGTCACCAAACATTAAACACTAAATATTTAGTTTGGAGTTGAATTTTTGCAATTACAAAGACTATCTAGCTTCCTCAATATATATTTGAAACTAAATAAGTAACTTGCTGACTAAACTTCTGGTCAGAGCAAAAATATTCATATATATTTTTTGTTAAATAAGCCAACTTATTGCTTTTAATGTTAAATTATGTAACTTTACAAATGGCATCCCATAAAATCTGTATTCCTTTAGTTGCAAACTAATTATGTAGTTTGTAGCCAAATATGTAGCTTGCTTAGTAAATATTTGGATCAAGGCCAGAATCCTACCTGTTGGAGTTGTTTTTGAACCATAATTGAAACATTGCTCAAAATATTTGATGCATATTGATGATTAGCTCATTAAAATCTAATGTTTGTTGCTGGTTTTTCATTTGGTTACTGTATGATGTTTTTCTGACTTTATTTTTGTGTTTTATGATGTAAAACATCAAACTGCAGTGTTGCTGAAATGTTAAACAAACATTTTTTTCTCCAGCTGCTGCTCTTCTTCTGTACTGTAGATCTCTTCACATGACTCCAGGTATTCTAGATATTAATCTTATTAAAAATAAAGAATTTAGGAGCTTAAACACATTTTGTTGTAAGACACAACTTCACATATATTCAGTTTATAAAGAATTTGTTTAAATGTTTTACTTAGACATGATGCAGGTAGAATCAGTGTGTAATAAATAAAATCACATCATTCTGATTAAATAAGTTGTAATTACCAGTCTGTAAAATCTGTAGCTTGTGGATTTTCTTTTTAAGGGAGGCTAATTTGTTTATTTCATTAAAGAAATTAGAGGAATATCTCTTAAAACATTTTTATTCTCATAATCTCAGTAATGTGGTACTCTGTTTTTTTATGCTAGACCTGGTTGGCTTGTTTCTGTGGTTCTGACAGGTAACTGAAATTGATTTAGGTGTAAAACATTCACATCCTGTAGATCGGGGTTCTCTGATCCAGCCTGAGGTTCTGCAACTTTTAAATGTTTCTCTGCTTCAACACACCTGAGTCAAATAATCAGGGTTTTTCAGGACTCTGGAGAACTTGAGGAAGTGATTCAGCCATTTGATTCAGGCGTGTTGGACCAGGTAAAGATCTAAGAGTTTTAGGAACATAGGTGTGATAAGAAATGCAGTCATACTTTAAAATCTTATATAGGTGAATCATACATAAAAGTGGGCCAAGAACAAACCCTTGAGGAATCCCACATGTGATTTTCTTTTGCTCTGATGTTACAACTTTGTCCCAGTCTGCCCAGTAGAACCAGTTAAGTTCCCAACCCTCCATGTTATGATCCCATTTGTGCATTTAGAACACAAAAAGAGTAAAAGTTCAGTTTTATAAATGTCTATTTTTTATGAACACATGAAATATTACAACAAATAATATAAGGTCATCATATATTAAAGTCACTATAAACGATAAAAACATGTCAGTCTAGTTCATGAGCAGCAGGTGGCGCTGTAACAGAGCTGTAACACGCCAAAGTTTACCGTGAAACTGACAGTTTTCCTCATAAGGATTTTCCTCTATGCAGATGATATTGTGTTATTCTCATAATATTTTTTATTTCAGAAACTTCCTGAGGTTTTCTCCTTTAGGGTGTCCAGTCTGCATCTCATATTTAAAATCTCTGACATGTTTAAGGAACATGTTTTCCCCTTCAGAATAAAGGGAGGCTTCAGTACCTTTGAAAGCTTAATAAACTGATCATGAAATATACATTTTGATACATTTTGACAGGAACATTGTCTCTGAAATTACACACAGTTCTTTGCAGTAACCTCGACCTTGACCTCTATTCCTGGCTCAGACTCTGTGGGTGGGGAACTTTCCAGGTTGGTTTCTGCTGTCAAAGACATGGAAAGTGTTAAAACACAAACAGTCAACTCTGATGTTATTGTGAGTCAGAAGTTTCATCTTTGATGAGAAAGTTAAAGAGTTACCAAACGGTTTGGGCTGATATAACGACACCATGATGATGGTTGAGATGAAGTATGGACAGAACACCACCAGGTGGCGCAGCACTGTGTATGCGAGCTGTAGGGGGCCAGAGGTGGAGGGCGCGGCTCCGGAGGATGGCGGGGTGGCTGCAGGTTTGGCTGTAGATAAAACACATTTTAAATTAATGTTCTGAGTTCAGCAGGAGCTGAGAGGCAACATGCAGAAGGAACTTCATCTACAATCTGAGAGTCAGCAGCTCATTGGTTGGGTTGGTACAATCTGAGAGTCAGCAGCTCATTGGTTGGGTTGGTACGATCTGAGAGTCAGCAACTCATTGGTTGAGTTGGTACAATCTGAGAGTCAGCAACTCATTGGTTGGGTTGGTACAATCTGAGAGTCAGCAGCTCATTGGTTGGGTTGGTACAATCTGAGAGACCAGCTAAACTCCCGCTCCTCATTGCTCTCGCAGCTCATTGGTTGGGTTGAACGGCATGGCCGGCCTTCGCCTGTACGACCCCCCATGACCTCATCAATGGTTCAAAACAGCGACTTCCTTGAACCACTTTGGGTAACTTCTCTCCACATCTCTTTAAATCATGAGATTATTAATGTGTGGCAGTGCAATGTTGGACAATGTTGCTTATGTTGCACATATTTAGTGGCTTATAAGATGGAAAACCTAATAAGTGAGAACACCTTGATCAGACTACAGAAATAAAAGAGTGAGAATTATTTGGTATTGCTACATGCAGTGCCTGAACTCGTTCTGCCTGACCCCAACCACAGCAGCTGCTGGTTCAGAGATGTTCTGATGTTTACAGGTTCAGTTTGGGCCTCAACAAACACGTTACAACCTCCATGTTGATTATTTTAACAGTTTCAAACACCTGAACCTTCAGGACAAAAAGCGAACAAACCAGCACAAAGAAGTGATATTTGCTCTCAGTTGCTATACCGTTGATGATTGGTTGGTGATGACAGTGGTAGGAGTCCCACCATGAGTGGGTTGCTGGTTCAATCCCTGCTCTGTCCATCTCTGTCGTTGTGTCTTTGGGCAAGGCACTTCACCCTTCTGGTCTGCTGGCGGCGCTCAGAGGGCCCTGGCCTCAGTCAGACTGCCCCAGGGCAGCTGTGGCTACTATCCAGTAGCTCATCACCATCAGTGTGAATGACTGGATGTAGTGTGACGCTTTGGAGTCCTCTGAACTTGATAAAGCCCAGATACAGGTCATTTACCATCATAATGCTATACTGGTGTAGGTTCCAGTTAGTCTCCATCCTGACTGTTCTTATCGAGGCCTCAGGTGTGGATTTGAGGGATCAGTTCTTAGGATGAGCCGCAGCTCAGTGTGTTGTCTACATCAGCAGGTGGTACCCAGAGGACCCTGAAGTATCCACCAGTTCAGGTGTGGCTTATGAAACACAATGACTTCTAGATTATCAAGAAAAACTTTAAATGTGACATAATTTCATTATTCACTGAGAACATCACCTCATCACTTTTCCCTCAGTAGTTTTCTCAAGTTTCTGTGTTTTGTTTGTATTTTCTCACCTATGACAGAGATCCTGCTGGATGGAGACTCTCCCTGACCGCTGATGCTGCAGTTATAGAGGCCTTCATCAGAGCTGGAGACATGGAGGAGGGTCATGTGACCTGAAGACTCATTGCCAATGAAGACACCATCTTTATAGAAAGCAGCTGGGAGGTTGTGGGCTGGACTCTTTGCTCTGCAGCTCAGAGTGACGTCATCTCCCTCCATCACAGGGAGGACAGGACTCTGCAGGATCACTGATCCACCTCAACACAGAGACAAACTACAGCATTTCATCCATTTCCACACAGCAACACTAACTCCACAGTCTGATCTTACCAGAGACAGAGAGCTGGATGCTGCTGCTGCTGCTGGAGGATCCAGACATGGACTCACACCAGTACAGGCCAGAGTCCTGTACAAAGAGGAATTCGATGGTGCAGGAGGAGTTGGTCCTTTTCCCCCAGCCGTCTCCACATGTTGACTGGCGTTTGGTTGTGTTTCTCTTCATGGTCCATCCTTCAGAGCCGTCGTCCGCCTCACACTTCAGAGTCACCCGGGTTCCTTCAAAAAGCTGAGAGGAGCTGAAATCCACAACAAGACGAGCTGCAAAGGAAGGAAGGGAAACTGATCAATGCTTAAAGCCAAACTTCAGGACTTCAGGTTTGACGGTTCTGTCAGGAGTTTATTGCTCCTGGATTATGGACTATTTGTAAGTAGTCCTCTCCGTCATCACTGTGTTTTGATAGTCTAAGATCCCTTTTATTCAGTTAAAATCACTTTAAAAATGCTCATAAGATGCTGCACAGCCGGCTGCACAACCAGACAAGGATGCAAACCAAACTTATCATTTTATCGTAAACCTTTTGATGAGGAAAGATATGACAATACAGCCGACAAGAACTGACAGCCCTCTGTGTTTCGAGCAAACACTTTTATAAGGTGAGAACATTAACATTCATATAGTTCATAAATAGGAGAGATTAGTAAGAGGCAGTCAGTACTGCATCATGGAGAAGGTCCATCTAATCATTAGCAGCTGTGCAGAAAACGCCCCACCATCATGTAGCCTAGCATGTACGAAAAACAGAAACGTGTCTAGACTTTAAAGAAGCATGCTGCTTCTTCTTAGTGGTATAAATCATGTGGCATAAATTCAGTTGAAGTTGATCATGATCAAATCAACAAACACGTAATTGGTTAAGATAACTAGTTCAAACTCTAGTAAACACTAGAGACCCAACTGACATGTTAGCTTAACTTCAACAAGTCACAACAACTTGGGAAACAATCACAGTCACTTCCTGTCTCTCACTTCCGATGTCCATCATGGCGCCTCGATGTTATTAGGTCACGTAGTAGCAAAGGGTCAGTAGCTGCTCTGAGGTCGGTTCACACAGGTAACCGGTGCAGATGGGTCGTCTGCTGTCCCCAGACCAGATGACCGGTCTCTGAGTTCCCAGTCAGACCTGCTAGCAGCAGGACTGGCTTGAACTCTTCCCACAGGGAGGAGGAGGGCAGGATCAGTCTGGACTCTATCCGTCTGTCCAGAGCAGGGACGCCACTCAGACCTCCACCGAATGACAGATCATCTCATTTTGGGGGCATTTCAGTCATAATCTCACAGATTAAAGGTAAATTCAGAACATTAGCTTTTAGCTTAGTCTTTCTCACCCCGATAAACCAGAGCAGCATCCTCAGGCCTGAAGACAAGCCGTCACCTCGTATTACATCAAACAAGTTTAATCCTGCCCTTTGAAATATAATCAAACTGTGAAGCTGACATTTTCTCTGAGTAGAGGCTCGTAGTGGCGCCGCTGTGACCTCACCAGGACTCTCATCCTGTTTTATTGTCCTGGTTTCAGGTCCGTTTCAGAGCAGAAGTGACACAAAGGCAACTTTTAGAAATAAGAAAGCAAATCAAACTTCATCCTAATCAGGCAGAAAAACTCTTTTAGTTCACAATACTGCCATAAATAAATAACCACTAATATGTGATTTTAACCCACACAGAGTCTGTGATGCTTCGTGTCACCGTAGCAACCAGGAAGTAAATTTTCTCTAAAGTTTACTGACCTTGATGTGTCGAGCTGCACAGCAAAGAGGTCAGAACTACGAGAAACAACGAGGTTAGTTTTATCAGACACAGAAACATCATTAATAAAATCATTTTATACAGTTTGACCATCAACTTCCTGTTAATTTAAGCTGTTTTATCAATAAAAACAATAATCCAGACATTGAAAACATGTTTTACTCACAGAGCAGACGCAGAAAAACCATTTCCATCTTGACAGTGAGTTCAGAACGGTGAGCGCCTTCAGAGACCAGAAACCTCCCACTTCCTCCACTGGTTTCCTCCAACGCCACTGGTGATGCTGAAACAGTTTTCCACAAAAACATCAGAAAACCTGCGAGACCAAACTTTAAAAACTAGAAAATAAAAGTTTAATCTGAACAAGTTTACGCTGCGTTCAGGGACCTTTTAAAAAAATCTTGAAAGTGAACAGGTTTTAAATGAAACACCAAAAGCAGAACTTTTATTTTACATTGACTTTTTTCTCCTGTTAAACAATAAAAATATGTATTTTATAAACAGATGAAGATCTTTCTGTTTGTGTTGGGCAACAGGAAGTGAAGTTCACACGCTTTCTGTCAGCGTTCAACACTTCAACCTGTGGTCGGAAAAAAGATCCTGAAGCTGCTCAGGGTGAAGAGACGCTTCAGCTGCAGGTTTTATTTACTGACGACCGAAACAACAACATGAGACCAAACGGTGAAAATCTGATCACTTTGTTCACAATAAATCAACACAACGTCATTCAGCCAAAGGAAAACAAACATTTTCTGTTTCCACACGTTGATGTTTCCTCCACAGTCTGACTCTCAGTTGGTTTCAGTCACCTTGAGGTTCATGTTTACATGTTCAGTCATCGATGTACTGGGGCAGGTGTCAAAGGAAATGAGGCTTAACCGACTTCTTGCTCATATCTGTGGAAAAAATCTTAATATGAGCCGTTGGTGCAGCAGAAGCAGCATTTTTAAAACTCTGCAGCAGCAAAACGATCATCTGCAATCAGCCGCCGTCTGAGCAAAACGTGGGAAAAAACGGGCTGCAAGTTTCTCTGTCCAAAAGCAGAAAACACGAGTCCAATACAGACCACCATGTATGACAGTCTGCAGGGGATAATCTGGATAATCTGGTCCCAGCAGATTATCTGGGCTGGTACCAGATAATCTGGTGAATTTCACCAGACATAGCAGGAGGTTTCTACGCCTCCACCACCGGAAAAAACAAAAGTTTCTTTGGAAACTTGACAACAATCAGTCCAGCTGTGGTGAAAATACAGACTAACTTGGAAACAAGCTGCTGCTGAAATGCTAATGATGAGCATCATTAGCTGCCTTTCCATTACTACTGTGTGCTAAACTTGGTTGCTATTCCACTACCATCAACAAAACACAATGTTGTCATTTCAATGTTTCAGTTAATTGAGGAATGGAATTAAAATCACATGTGAATAAGTTTGTTTACACATTAAGGCATTAACAACATGCAGTTTCAACTACTTCCTGTCATCCTCTTTGTCGTTTCCGCCAGTGGCAACATCCAGGGGTTGATCCCAGATTATAAATTTTAAGGTTGTTTTTGTTCAGAACACTGATAAAGACATGAGACTTTAAGTCTGGATGGATTTTCCTGGTTAAATCATAACAATAATCTTTCTAACAGCTCAAGCCTGGTGCAAACTGGGTCATCAGCAGGACAAAAATCCCAAACACAGCAGGAAACCCACAACAAAATGGCTAAAAGAGGAAAGAAACACAGGGATTTAATGGTCTAGTCAAAGTTCAGACCTTGACATTGAAGAAAAGTGGGTCAAACTTTTTCCATAAAGATGAGAGAGACAGACAGTCAGACAGGAAACCACTGATGTGGGTTTACGAGCCGCTACAGCAGCAGAGGAACTCAGTTTGTCACTGAAGTAAAATATAAAGTATTAAAAACCTTTAAAGTTCAGGTCACTGGAGCATCAGGCTGATTTCAACCTGGACCACAGGGGGCGCTGTTGTTGAGGGGTAGTAAAATCTCACCTCATAAAGTTTCTGTTGATGATGAATCAGTAAAATCACCAAACTGGACCAACAGAGTCTGACTGAGTTTTAACTGAACCAGAAACTCTGTTTGGTGTTTTGGTTTATTATTAGAAAAAAAAAAATTAGTGAACAATTTAAACTCAATATTATAGACAAAGATTAAATTATTAGTCCAATCAGAAGGAGCAGAAAGTTGTTTTAGTCCCGTTGAATTTGTCTGCCACTCTCCATACTTCATTACGGTGTTCACACCACAAGGGGGCGCCGTCTCCCTGACGGCAGTTCTGTTTTTTGCTCGTGGTGCCGCCCTGGGCAGAAAGCCACATTTGCTACATAAAAAAAACAAACAAACAAACAAACAAACAAACAAACAAACAACCAACAACACACACACACAAATTGTAGCTGTTAAATACAAACAATATATATCATAATTTAAATGTTTTATCTGTATTAATCATATTGTTGTCATAATGTTTTCATAGAAAAATAAATAATTTTTGGATTTAAAAGACATCAGTATAATTTAATTAGCTACAATAAAAAAAATAAACAGATAAAAAATGTTAAAATGACTCAGATCGATTTGATGAAAAACTCTTTAGCAGCAGGGGGCGCTATAGCTCTGGCTAAATGAGCACCATAATTTCCATTTGCCTGATTTATTGTATTTCTCTTTTCTACTAAAATCTGAATGATAAAAGTTTTCAGTTGGTGTTTTGGTCTCAACTGGCTTTTTCCTGAAGGATCATTTTGTTTCCAGAGACATTGTGGTTCATTTTATTTGTTATTCCTATTTTATTTATTTATTTTGTATATTTTAAATGTTTTGCTGTTCGTGTTAAACATTCAGTAGAACTAAAAGTTTATTGATCTTTGAGATGTGACCTTGCATTGTTACCTTGTTACCATTATAATACTTGAAAATGGTCTCAAAACAACAATATTAACAATAATATCCAGTAAAATATGTTTTTATAGTGTTTTTTCAGATAATATGGCTTTGTGTTTTTATAAAATAAAACAAGAATACAGTCATAATGTAGGATAAAGTCTTCACTGACCTGCATGTTTTAGATCTGCTTCAACCCATCATTCAGCTCAACTCTGTTAATCAGCCATCAGCTGAAATCATGTGACTGAAGCAGGAAATGCCTCAACGCTGCAGGGCAGTGACTGGAGGACCAGGGGAGAAAAACACTGGATTAGCCCATAAATGAATGATGAATAATAAACATAGTTTAGGTTCATAATACCTGTGATGTCAGAGCTCTGACTCCAACCTGCTGCAGGACCAACATGGAGGCTGAGTCCATTTCTACTGACCAGCTGGACATGAAGGGAAATGATTTTATATGGAAGAACAACATGTTAGATATTAACTCTGTTCACAAATTATGTATGAATCTCAGGGGAAAATTAAATGTTGTGTCTCATTAACCAGCTGAGATTTACAGAGACTCTGCTTGATCGTTTAGCTCATGCTAGTAGCAACACGAAGGATCAGAACTTTTACTGTTACAGTTTCCGTTTGGAAACTACCGTAATCAGTTCAGTTAAATCTAATCTTGGCAACTTTTTATTTTTCAATCCTAATAAATGTGATATTCAATTGACCTGTTATGACTCAGATGTTGGCTGTCTCTGCTGCTGCTGCATCGCTGTGGAAAACCTGGAGCGGCAGAGATATCTGAGGCTTATAGGTGAATGTTTACTGGTTAAAAAAAAACTTTGGGTTGTGGTTTATAGTCCGGTGCGGCTCATAGTTTGGAAAATACGGACGATAATCCTTCCTGGATTTTTTCTGTGAAGAACCCAGAGACGGTTATTTGATTGTGCTTTCTGGAAAACAAAATATTTTTACATTTAGGCTCCTGCAATCGTCACTTTTTCTGTTACAAACTGACTCCGGCCCTCGACCAGAGAAAAGAAAAGTTATGTGGCCCTCAGGAAAAAGTTTGGGGACCCCTGATATAGAGTTTATGCAAACTCTGGTTTAACTTTTTATTAGCTTATAATGCAGAGGCAGATTGTTACAGTCCTGCATTTTAACCAACAGCAGGTCAAATAATGTTAAATAATTATTCCATGAATTTATCTGATTCTTTAAGCTGTGGTTTTATCAGGGTGGTGAACCAGTTCAGCTCATCATCACCATAAAGAATCACTGAACACTTTCAAGATTTACGCTGCACTCCATCCATCCATCCATCCATCCATCTTCTTACACCCTTATGCTATCGGGGTCATGAGGGCTGCTGGTGACCTACACCAGTCCAGGGTGACTGACTCTCTTAACTTGTCCAGTGAGTCACCCTGGACAAGTCACCAGTCAATTGCAGGCCAACACAGAGACAGACAGGACAAACTACCACACACACTCACACCACAGTCCAATGACACTCATGTCTTTGGACTGTGGGAGAGAACCCACCATGCACAGGGAGAACATGCAAACTCCATGCAGAAAGACCCCGGGAATCGAACCCAGAACCTTCTTTCTGCAAGGCAACAGAGCTACCTACTGCGCCACTGTGCACTGCACTTATATTTTTTAAATATATTTTTAAGGATCATCAGTGGCCCCCTTTTAGCCCTCTAAAACTTCCTTGATTCACCCCTGCTCAATAGTCTTAAGGAGGCATTAAAGCTACAGTATGTAATGTTTTATGTTCATATTTGTTAAATATTTCACTATATACTGAAAGTAAAAGATGAGAGAGCCCCGAAACAAG